GCTGAATGAAATATATTTGTAATCGTCAACACTGTTTGCATTTTGGATTCATTTGGGATTCACAGAGCTTGTTGCAGTGCATTCTGGGACTGAAATGGCCTGGGAAGCACAGATTACTGCCTTAGGTTTTGGCTAAAAGAAGGTATTTTAGGAGGAGGCATAATGTGTTTGCCTGCTTATTACATAGGCGTGTAAATGATGGCTTTAAATGCCGTCGATGTGGGCGGCTCATCAGCTTTCGTGAACTTCTCTTTCTGACCCTGTTTTCTTGCTTTAGAGTCTCTCAGAAGTGCTGAATACACTATTTTTCTTTTCTATTTCTCTCTGTTGTTCAGTGGTTTTGCTTCTTGATGTTGTAAACCACTACAAAATTCAGCTTCTCTCGCATTTCTGTGCTTCTTTTTGCACTCGGCTTCCCTTGAACTGATGCGCTGTGTTTCTTCCTGCCCATTTTCGCTTCTCTCCTTCTCTCATGCTGTCGCTCTAGCACTCCGGCTCTTCCTTTTGGCCTCTCTGGATGTAATTATCCCGCTGTGCTATCCCAGAATTCCTGCAGAAGGGAAGAGGGGTGTGGCCTGCATGTGAGATTACAGGCTGGAGTGGCTTTCTTCGCCTGCCGTTTTACTTTCTCTCTCTCTCTCTCTCTCTCTCTCCGTCTCCATCCCCTCCCTGTTTTTCCCTGTCGCTCTTGGGAATTCTCCAGATGTGAAGCTCTTAGGTGGCTAGTCATAAATTTCCTGCATTCTCTGAAGTCAGCAGGAGCCACTGGTGTGTGTCTCCCCGAGGAATCAAGCTCACAGCCAAAACAATGAGCACGGCCTGATGCCGGCGTTGTGGCTTTGGAATTATATGATATTATTTTGAAAGAAATAGCTTTAGCAATTTTGGCCCATTTTTCTTCAATTTCTTCCTTGCAGTTATTTGAATTAGACATTTGCCATTGTTTTGCTGTGCTCACTTAACTGAGTCTTTGATGCACATATAGGCAATCTTCAACATATCAACATATAGCTACCCTTAGGGCAAGTTATTTATTTTTCATTGGCTCAAGTTAAAAAATATAGATGGGAATCATTACCCTACATTTTTTTAATTGGATGAATGAAACATTTTTTTCAGTGTATAATTGCCATTCTGTCATCAATATCATTTTATATAAAATGAAGAAATATATTCTGATTAAGCTACAATTTGGAATCATGGCTTAATTTAAGTTTAAACACTATGTTTCAAAAATCTTAATTGCTTATCCAGCCACAGTTCATTATATTTTAATGCTTGATTATCACTTAAAACATGCAATTTTTGTTGAAAACAGGGAAAATGGTACAGATTTACAATTCATCGTATGTGCTCATCACATCAAATACCATGCATAACAAATTCATTATGTTTGCGTATGCAATAGATTTATACTATGAAATTATAATCAGAATCATGTTTATGAACAATTAGTCAGTATTAGAATTAATATTATATACATTACTGTTTTTGAAAATTTGGGGTCAGTAAGATTTTTTTCTAAAGGAAATAATACTTAACTTTTATTCAGCAAGGATGCATTAAATTGATAAAAAATTTTACAATATATTGACACCATAAAGTGTTTTTAAAATTTGTAATAGTTTAGAATATTACAGAATAGTAATTTAGAATAGTTTTTTACTGTATTTTTGATCAAATAAATGCAGCCTTGGTGAGCAGAAGAGACTTCTGTTAAAAATGAAAAAACAAAAAAGTACCGACCCCAAACTTTTGATCGGCAGTGTAATTGAATTACATCTGCTTGGGCATTTATTTATGTATGCATCAAATACAGCATTATTTCCTCTCAAGGTTTCGTCCTTATGTATGTAAACATCTCAGAACAATACACAATATTTATTGTGGCATTGACAACTGAATTGAAATCGGTCATCAAATTAGTTATCAGAGACACTGTATAACATAATCTTTTTTATGATTTTGTTAGTTTATATATTTGGTCTTACATAAGCTGATTTGTATTCATCTAGTATTTCTGTAGTAGTGTGTGCTGTTGTGACATTCAGTTTCATGGCCTGTTCTTTCAGAAGGGCTGGGCTGTACTGTTGAGCTTTGTGTTTTTTCCATCATACTTCTTAAAGGTCCCATATTGTCAAAACTGAAATTTCCTGGCTTTTTTCACGATAACTGCAAAAGACAATACTTTATTGAACCTTTACTGATAAGAAGTGTGCGCTGCAAACGCGAGCATTTTTGACGATCGTTTCTGTCCAGTCTGATTGTTTTATCGGGTTGAACCACCGCTGTCGTCGTTTTTTTTGTCTGGCAGTGGCATCAGATAAGCGACCAAAATTGTGTCTGGCAGTGGCAGCAGATATGCGATCAAATTTCTAATTTGAGGCTGTATTACGTCGATTCTGGCACCCAACAACACAACAAAATTATATTTTAAGCTCCTTGTGTAGCCGAATCTGCGCTGGTTTGAATGGGTCGCCTCCAGTTTCCCCTTTGTTTTGCTGCCTCCAGCTAGCGCTGTGACGTCGGCTGACCCTAGTTACCTGTGGTTGGCCTGGCCGTGCGTCACTCAGAAAACAACAGGCCAATCAGAAGAGAGGCTCATGATTATTAATTAGACAGGCCAAAATCGACCTGTTCTCAGCAGAGCTCCTGAGAGAGGAGCTGTAAAAATATATTGAGATGTTTTTTGGTACTTATATCACAAATATATATTCTTAAGGACATCAAAACCTAAAATAAAACTCCAGAAATGTGTAAAATATGTGACCTTTAAAGGAGATTAAGAAGAAGGTTTCCTCTGTGATCGCTTTGTGCTTGCCCCTGCCAATATAATTCTAAAACCCTGCAAAGCTGCTTCGCTACATGTTAAACACAACAAATGCAGGCATTGAGGTGAGCTGAATTCAGTCTGAATTCAGAGTCAGCATTGTTTCTATTTAAAGGAGACATATTATGCCCATTTTTACAATATGTAATATAAGTCTCTGGTGTCCCCTGAATGTGTCTGTGAAGTTTTAGCTCAAAAAACCCACAGATCATTTATTATATCATTTTGAAAATGTCTATTTTGAAAGGAGCAGAAACACGCTGTTTTTCGGGCCTGTCTCTTTAAATGCAAATGAGCTGCTGCTCCCCGCTCTTTTCCAGAATAGAGCGGCGCTGTTACAGCCTGGACCTGCTAAAAACATCTGTTTTGGTTCTGATTATCATGTTTATCGCTCTGAAATCATGCGGTTTAAACCATATGAGTTTAATCATGTTTATTTTAGATCTGTGTGGCAGCAGCAATATACAGTAAATAAATCAATAAATCCACTGCTCTCTTGTCTCCTCTGAGGCTGGGACTGTAAATAGTGTTCTGTGCTCGTCTGTGCAGCCAAACACAGAACAGTTAGCATGCTTTGCTCAAACTTTCACCATGACATTAGAACTAATACACCGTTGTCACTTGTGAAATCAAAATGACGGCGCCGTGGGTGTAAATTTACAGATTAAGGGGCGGTAATATTATAATGAGATCCCTTTGCCACGTCACCAAGGGAGCGAAATCAGACGTGCTCGTTTTCTCAGACGCTTGCAGAAAAAGGCTTACCAAAACAAAGTTAGTGGGTTAATCTTTTTCACGTTTCCTTGGTTGGTAGATGCACCTGGAAAAGTCCGATTTTCATATGTCACCTTTAAATGGGTCATATTCTGTTTTCTTCCCACTTATAATGTCAGTCAAGATGCACCAAAAAAATTCATCACACTTTCTCTGACACTTAGGCTGTGCTTTTAAGGCTTTATGCAAATGACTGCTCCTCTGATTAGCTTAATGCCGTTCATGGGCGTGTCAAGTTGCTGAATACTGAATAGGTGTTGTTATGTAAATGTGGGTGTCATATGTTAATGAGTGTGATGTCATCGAATCTGTTTTTCACAGGCTTTTCTCTATGTTCTCTAACATCTACAAGCATTAAGTATTAAACTTAATGATTCCCACAAAACATGTATGTCTAATATTATTTACTTGCTTTATATCATGAGTTGTGGTTCTGGATCATTGTGCTTATTTCCTAACAGATGACCTACGTAATGTTTGTTAGATTCTTCAGTCTTTGCTGGTTACAGATATTTGATATTTTTACCGATATTTGACCAAATTGAAATGATAAGCACTGGTGAGAACTTGCTGCGTTAGTTTCGTCTTGTGTCAATGAATTACAAATATCTTCTTTTATTCTTTTGCGTGCATATTATGAAATAAGTGTTTGATTCATTTGAACAGTAAGTGTACATATTATTTGGCATTATTTACAACAGTGTTTGTCATTTGTCAAGTCGTGATGCTCAAACTGTTCAAATGTTTGGGGTCTGTATTATTATTATTATTATTATTAATTAATTAAAAAGAAATGATTGCATTTATTATTTGAGGATGCATTAAAGTGCTCAAAAGTGATGAAGACATTTATAATGTTACAAAAAAATCAATTTCAAATAAATGCTGTTCTTTTGAACTTTCTATTCATCAAAAAAATATTTTTGGAGATAAAAAAAAAAAAAAAGTTTTTTAAAAAAATGTGCTCCCCAAAGTTGCACTTTTTTGATTCAAAACTACAGTAATATTGTGAAATATTATTTTAATTTAAAATAGCTGTTTTGTATGTGACAATATAATAAAATGTAATTATTCCTGTGATGCGAAGCTGAATGTTCAGTATCATTACTCCAGCCTTCTTTTTTCACATGATCCTTCAGAAATCATTCTGATATGCTGATTTGCTGCTCAAGAATCATTTATGATTATTATCAATGTTGAAAACGGTTTCATATTTTTGTGGAAACCGTGCAACAATATTTTCAGGATTCTTTATGTGAAATTGAAATCTTTTATAACATTATAAATGTTTTTACTGTCATTTTTATCAATTGAATGCATTCTTGCTGAATAAAGAGCTTGATTTGAATGCCTAAAAACACTAATGCGTCTCTCTGATGGGTCTCTTCCTGGGTAGTTTGGTCTGTTTGGACCGCGAGCGCTGGGCAGGGCCGTGCACGCCGCCACCGCCGATGGCCCGGGCCTCAGCAAGGCAGAGTTCATGGAGAAGGTGCGTCAAAGCAACGAGGCCTGCCAGCTGGGAGACTTCCAGACGGCCGTGAAGCTGTACGGCGAGGCCCTGCGCGCCGACCCGCAGAACTGCATCCTGTACAGCAACCGCTCGGCCGCCCACCTCAAACTGGGCCAGTACCAGACCGCTCTGAACGACGCTGTCAAAGCCCGCCTCCTTAATCCTAAATGGCCGAAGGTGAGTGTGTGGGCGGGGCTTCGCATCTTTTATTCCAGGTTACAGGTGAAGACGTCCCTCGTTCTTCATGTGCTCTGTACTGTTTTTTCCTCAGCTCAGAGAAGCACAAGTCATCGCTGGTTTCCGTTTGTTTGTTTGTTCTTTTAGCATTCATTGCAGGTACAGCGAGCCGAGAGCTTGAGATTTTGCCAAATCGCCGCTTTGCTTAACATTTCTCAGCTGTGATGTTAACAGGCACTCACAGCAGAACATTACGGCAAAGTCAGCGTCTGAAAAATGATCGCAGTAGTGGCCTTGCGGCAGGAGCTCGTCTGCTCTTGGCAACGGGAAAAGGGCACACTGTGATAGACTTGCTAACAAACAACACGGGCATGTTTTCCTATATGCTCTCTTACAGCTACTAAGTATTAAACTAGATTAATTATATAGAGAGAATTTGATTAGTTGGATTCAGTTTCTGACATAGTTCCCACAAAATGTGTTTAACTGGATGAAATTTGGCTGTTTGATTCAAAGTGTTTGATTCATTATAGCAGTTATTGTATGTATTGTTTGTAATTTGTATCGGTATCTGCCATTGAAAACCTTCTTTGTTTAACTACAAGTTGTAGTTGGAATCAGTTTCTGACGCAGTTCCACAAAACATTTATGTGTCATATTATTTATTAGCTTTAAATCATCAGTTGCGGTTCTGGCTTGTTTTTTTAACTCCTACAAATCAAATACGTAATATTTGTTAGATTCTTCAGTCATTTCTAGTTATAGATAAACTGGTATTTAAACCCATATTTGGCCATATTGAGATTATTAGCATTATTTTATGCTTGTTTTAATAAATTTTAAATATTTCTGTTATTAATTTGTGTGCATATCATGTAAAATAAGTTTTCGATTCATTTCAGCAATTAGTATACATATTATTTGCTATCATTTACATCAGTATCTGCCATTGAAAACCCTTTTTGTTTGACTACAAGTCGTTACACTGTTCAAAAGTTCAGGGTCTTTAAGATGTTAATACTTTTATTCAGCAAGGATGCATTACATTAAGTAAGTAAGGACATTAATTTAGCAAATATTTCAATTTCAAATTAATGCTGTTCTTTTAAACTTTCTATTCAAGAATCAAGAAGAATAGTTTCCACCAAAATATGAAGCAGCACAACTGTTTTCCACATTGATAATAATAATAAATGTTTCTTGAGCAGCAAATCAGCATATTAGAATGATTTCTGAAGGATCATGTGACACTGAAGACAGGAGTAATGATGCTGAAAATTCAGTTTTGCTTCACAGGAATAAATTACATTTTATAATATATTCAAATAGAAAGTACTTATTTTAAATTGTAAAAATATTTCAGAATATTTCTGATTTTACTGTATTTTTTATTAAATAAATGCAGCCTTGGTGAGCAGAAAAGACTTCTTCCCCCAAACTTTTGAACTGTATTAAGTCCTTATGTCTCATATAGGATATTTGTAGCCAAATGGTTAGTTCTATGCTGCCAATAGAAATGTTGCAGGTTCAATCTTAACTAGGTGTGACAAAATAACTGTAGAGTTGTTGATATCCTGCTCATATCTGGTGACTTCAGTGTTCATAAATTGGTACTGCACCTGAAATTAGTGTATCATAAGTTGCTTTGGATAAAAATGTCAGCCAGCATATTTATATTATATAAATTTATAGGTTGTTTGTCGAAATCAAGTTTTTGTTCTACTTTGAAGCGGGCGATGCACACATATGTGTGCAATCTTAACAGCTCTAGTCGTAAGTATTTTGTAATCACGCAAACATGTTGGCTTTAATAAGAACTGAGGATATTAAAATATCCTTTTTCTCATTCGTAAACCGCCTCAACGCTCTTGAGAGAAAAGCGTTTTGCGCAGACGCGAGTGGTACTTCGGTTTGGTCTCACTCTGACCACACAGTCCTCTCCTCCCCGGCTCAAAGCACATGTGGCAAAACCCAAACCCAGCGAGGAACGTTAACCTCTGCATGCATTGCTGCCCGTCTTCTGCTTTCTGACTTTTCATTTGCTGCACGGAGCCAGAGAGGCGGGACTTTCTCGTTTGGCACAGAGAAAAGGGCAGAAACATGGGTTCCATTTTACTCAACCAAAATGTGTGAAATTGTTGTCTTTATGAGCAGCGGGCTCCTCTGAGACCCGACGGGGAGTGTTCGAACTAACCAGTGCCACAAGTGCAGCGCTCGGGATCTAGCCGAGGACGTTTTGTGGGAACGAGCAGACAGCGATTCCTGTATCACAGAGGCTGTGCTTCCTTTTGGAGCAGAATAGGAGGAAGTAGGTGTGGGGCCGAACTGCTGTTTTGTTGTGGAAATCCTGGATGGGTTCAACGGCAAACTTGTGCTGCGAGGACAATAACTGCAATAACAGCAACATTCAACCGACTTTACAGGCCTGAAAAATGCTGCAGATTTGCCCCGTTACGCACATGTGGAGCGTTTCTGCCAAACGTCTCATAAAAAAACACAATTAAACAAACAAATATGAAGTTATGACATTGCCCAGAAGAAAACTTTAGTTTCTCTTTCATATTTCAGAGACTTAATGGAGTATAAACTTTGTCTCAGATGTTCCTTCAATAAATTGAATTATTCAATTCAGTGAAAATAAAAAGTAAACATTGATTGAAATTATACAATTGTTCATATAGAGTAAAAATATAGCTATAAAGTAGATTTTTCAAAGCTATGTTCAAACTTTCCTAGTATTTGAGTTGTAGTTCTCTGATTGGTTGATAAGGTGTTGCTGGGCAGTTGCGAAGGTGTTCTGATTGGTCATATTCCGTTTTTCTTTTTGATAGTGTGAGTCCCTCCTTCAGTCTAAATAAAACTTTGAGGTTCTTTTTTTTTTTTTTTTGAAAGAAATGAATACTTTTTTTGAGCCAGGATGCAATAAATTGACCAAAAGTCACGGTAAAGACATGTATCATGTTACAAAACATTTATATTTCAAATAAATGCTGTTATTTTGCATTTTTCTATTCATCATCAGAATATCCTGAATCGTGAAAAATCCTGTTTTCCACAAAATTATTAAAAAGCAACTGTTTTCAACATTGATAATAAGAAATGTTTCTCGAGCAGCAGATCAGTATATTAGAATAATTCTGAAGGATCATGTGACACTGAAGACTGGAGTAATGATGCTGAAAATACAGCTTTACATCACAGAAATAAATTACAGTTTAAAACGTATTCAAATAGAAAACAGTTATTTTGATTTGTAATAATATTACTGTTTAACTGTATTTTCGATCAAATAAATGCAGCCTTGGTGAGCAGACAAGACTTCTTTTCAAAGATCTTATCAACCCAAAACTTTTGAACATTATTGATGCAATTTAATAGTCAGTTTTATCATATTCCATGGCAAAAACCAATGTCTGATTATTTGGAAACATAACAGCACACCTCTTCTAAACAAGAGGCATGATTTGAGCTAACACTGATGATGTATGAATCATGTAGATTGAATAATAAACCACAGTTTACTTCACACTTGATCCAATGAATGAGATTCAGACATTTCTAAGTGTTCGTTTTTTGTAATCTGGACTTGTTTACAGCTCTGAATCTCTCACTTACTGTATATGTCAGGAAAAAGACACAGTAGACATTAAAATGGCCTTTTTGTGGGGTAACTTGCTCAATGAGCCAGTACTTCACACCTGACAGCCAGGCAAGAGCGGCAGAATGATAAACTGGTTGTAAGTCCTTGTGTTGATTGAAAGCTGTTGATGTTTTTCCTATTCGTCACACACTCAGACGCCTCTCAACCCTTTATGAGAGGCCACGGCGAGTGATGAATGTGAAGAGAAGGCAAATGAACGCAGACGAGTGTCGCTTCATCAGCATTCTCCTGCGAGAGCTCGAGGTCGCTGAAAGACTTGAGACATCAGTGTTTTTAGCTGTATTTATGCATCGTTTGAAGTGTTTGTGCTCGCGGAGATGCAGATTCAGTATGTTTTCAGTTTACCTCTCACGATAAGAGGACTTGGTGTCAAAGCTGGGCGGTATGACTAAAAAACACATTCAATATAGATTATTTATTTTTTTTAGCTGTGTGATAATGTTTGCTTTTGCAGCTTAGAATAGCATTGTATTATTGTATTATGCAAATTGTTGTATTAAATATATACAACTCTTATAAAAATGAATTATAATTATTTATATTTGTTATAAAAAATTTATAAATTCCAAAATGCCAAAAATAACACCATAAAAGTCAGTCTGATGATTATCAGTGAATAGCAACTTAAAATAGAAAGAAAAGAGAATTTAATAATGAATATTTAAAAATGTATATAATATTTATTAATGTGTGTGTGTGTGTGTGTGTGTGTGTGTGTGTGTATA